CTGCTTCCGTGGAAAACATTGGAAATACCCAAGGTGAAGCAAGAACAGTGACAGATATTGAAACACTAGCAATGACATAAAACTGTCGAGCTATCGATGCTGTGCTATGGTTAATTGGTAATGAAGTACTGATCTGATTTGCCCAGATATGCAGCAGAACCAAAAATCCACAAGAAATGTGGGTCAACCATACTCCTATAACAAACTTTGGTCTTGCTCTGAGTAAAGTGAGTGAAACTGAAAACAATACCACAACTGCAAGAACTGAGATAATCTGAAGAGACTTTACAACAGAAGAGTCAGCTTGCGCCAGTAACTTTGAAATATCAGGAAAGTGAACCCAGTTGATTCCACCTTGATGCCAAGCTCTTATAACTCTCCCAGCAACAAGAACAATAAGGATAGTACATAACTTGTAAACATTTCTCTTGCCCGGGGTTAATTCAAAGCTTGTAGCATAGGAAAAGTTACTTTTGTCAAAGCTCTTTTCTTCTGCTTTATGACCAAGTGTTGGATTTGATCCTTTTAGCATTGACTGGACTGCCTTGGTCAGAAATATTAAATACAGAGTAGAAGTGAGAAAGTGCCATGTATACTGCTCTTCTTCCACAAAAGAACTTGAACCAAGACTGATGACATAGAGAAACATCCCAGCAAGAACAAGAACCTCATCAAGGTGCCAGCGTTGATCCAAATATGACTCTGAATGGTGATCAACTTGACTCAGAGACCGTGCCTTAAATAGGCAAGACACAGTGCTCATGAGGAAAAGGCATGACACCGTCATCAGCAGGATTGCAGAGACAAGTAAATAGAATGGTTTCTGTAATAAAAGAAAACAAGTCATTCTTAAGAAAGGCAAACCTAGCAGAAAGCTACTTGAAACTAAGGTACAAATCTGCAAAGATAGTAAAATTACATCGGTTGCTCTGTGAGACAACCACTCACTCGCATATCTTAAGAAGCCGTAGTAGTTATCTGCAGCAGTCCCATAGTACCCAGATTTAACAGACCTGAAACAAGTTCTTTTTAAGCAATGATGAACAAAGATACTCACTACAGTTTAAGAAGATTGTCAGCAGAAGCTCACTTGAAATCAGAACCTCGATGAAGACATGAGGATTGATGAGAAGAAAAGGCTTTAGAAAGTAAATGGCACAATTTTTTCTCAATAGATCCATGAAGGATGTCAAGTACAATGCTGCCCTCCGAATTAATACAATCTTCAAGGCAGAAGGCAGGTACTTGTGCTTGCAGCAATCTTAAGATTTGCCATGAGTTAAGCTCTAACATCCTTAGTTTCTGGTCATCTGAAACAAGATGCACTCATAATCTCCGAACAGTCAAAGCTAAGAGGAGTATTTAATAATATAATTTGTAAACAATTCAATATTATGATGTGACCAAGAATATGATTGAACTGATTAGGCAACCCCTGAAAATAACTTATTGAAATAATTTCAAGCTCACAAGCATAAATTGTCTATTCCTTGTCATTCATGATGAACCTTAATGCACCAAAAATGGAAGGTAAAAATAAAATCACCTGTCAACGAGTTTAAAAGCTCTGGAAGCACGACACCAAAATTATTCTTCGGAATTGGAACACCAAGTAGAAGAGCAAGAGTTGGGGCAAGATCCACCTGACAAAGGATGTCAGAGTTGTATTTTGATCTCTTGGGAGTTCGGACTATCTTTAAGAGTACTGTAATTATCTATTCAGCTTGAATGGGGAGAACATAAAGCCTAGTGATTGGAAAATGTCATACAGCAACAATGTTTTCTTGGCTCAAAGAATATGCAAAAAATGGAGCAACACAAACATGCAAAGATGAACTATACAGAACCTCTATAAGTAACATAAATGTATGTCATTTATAAAGTTTAGACTTTACTTGAAGTGCTTCCTTCTGGTCATAGGGCGAACAATATGGGCTCTCAACACTGTGTCCTATAAAAAGCGCAAGTGAATCAGTTTCTTCATATGAAGATCCTCCATGATTACCCCCTTCAGTCATGCCATGATCGCTAACCACAACCTGAAACAATGGAAGACACCAAAATGAGCATCAGAAATTTTCTTGGGTTCATTTTTTGGGGGAAAATATAATATATATAACCAAACATATATAATGCAACCCAGAAGATAGAATACATAAAATTTTGGCTTGCTAAACTTTACATGTGGCAATTCAATAAAGATAAATAGAAATTAGAATGACAGAGAGATAAACTTTGTCAAACATGCACACATGAATTAACAATACAAATCCATCATTTGCTGGTGGACTCCTAAAGCAATCTCCCACAGATGTTGAAACATGTCGTCAGTTGTCATATAGCATGTACATGACTAGAAAAAAGAAGACTATTTGTCAAAACAAGAAAGAATCACAGACCAAAAGTGTTCGGTCCAGATTATCCTGAAGGCTCGCAGTATGCACCCGTCTAATGACATCATCCATCTCCTTCATCTTTTGGGTCATCAAAACACTATCATTTAAAAGTTTTAACTCAAAATTATCACCAGTCATAACTCAAAATTATCACCAGTCACCCCCCCCAAAAGCATGAAAGCCTGAAAGATGATGAGATGCATACCTCCGGCGGCCACCTATATGTCCAACATGGTCTAAGCCTAGATAGTGAAGAACCTGAAATTATCCAAAAGAAACAAACAAAAAAAGAACGAATGGCTTACTACTCTTCAAAAAGACACTGCAAAACAACCTTGTAGATAAGCACTAGACAACGAATGATATGTAAAGAGGGTTAGTTATTATAAAAAAAATAAACACTAGTCCTGCACTGTATAGTTGTAATTCAAGCAATTAGACATAACATTATCAGTCCACAAGGAATAAGAAATGAGACAAGCACTGAGGTAAGAGCGAAAGCATACCAAGACACTCCAGTCTGTTGCAGCAAGCTCAAATTCTAAGTGGCGTGAAACGTTGAAATCAACCTCAACTGTATCTTTCACCTGAAAGATAGTTACAAACAATTGAACAAAATTTTATTGATAAAAATGCTAGGCTGCTAAGAACAACCAAAACATTATCACTAGGCAAGCATCAAGAGTTCAAGACATAAGCTTAAGTACCGCATATGCAAATATCTGCAAGCACAACCCAAAGTAGCTTTTGCTCTCCTTAAAGAATGTTGTATCATCATCAGGAGAATAATGAGGTTTTGCTTTATAGTGGATAAAAGTATGCCAAACAAATGATATGGAGAGGCCAATTACAAGCAAACTCTAAAATATGCGTCCATGTTTGGTCTACTGGCTTTTTGGCTATTGGTTTCAGTAATGTTGACAGATTCCTACAAAATAAAACAGGGAAGCAATAATGTGCTCTCGAAACTAACTGGTAGGCTAGAGTTTCAGGTGACAGACATTATCATATTATCCTTCAACTACATGTATGAAAAACATGCCAGGGATAAAAAGACTTACATAAAAACTGCTCACTCCATCTTGTCTAGTGAATAGTGTTGGGAACAATTTGATCCATGTCTCATCTCCCAGCATCACTAACTTCAAACCAATCATATGAAGCTGATCTGCATAGGTGTGCATTTGTCAAGTATGATAAATATAGTATATAAGCAATTTCGCATCAATTGAAACAGATACCAATAGGGAATACAAAACACAAAAGGACCTACACATACTAATGGCAGTTTAGTGTACAAAAGTTATGATTAGTATAAAACAGGTAGGGAGGTACAGAGAGGTTCTAACCAAGAAGATTGTCCTCTAAGAAGGCTTGAGTATTAAAATTAAATGCTACGTCTAGAAAACCTCCAATTGCCCCAGACACCATAGCCTAAAAAAGAGTGCAGTTAGTATTGTGGAACACTTGAATAAAAGGGTATCTCTAGAAAGAAGTCTTACTTTTAGTCGGGGCATTGTGACGGTGGGAGGTGCAGCCTTGGCATGGTAAGCTGCTGCTTTGCAACCAGCCAACAAAGACTGAGTGTATGGCATAGACTCCATCATTTCTTTGCTTGGAGGTTTCCTGCCTCTCCCAAGTACAAATTCAGCAGGTAGTCCATCGATTACCTAAATTGACATTCATAAACTCAAAAGGCAAAAATTAAAAAAAGGGGTAAGACAAAATATCACCAAAACATATTTGAACTATGCTGCTGAACCAAATGAACATCCATATCAATTCAGGACATACCATCAACACTAAGCGATCATACACAGGAGGGATCCCAGAGAGTTCCTGGAGTACAGAAAATAGCAAGGGTGAACATAACTGATAATGCGATCTGTTCAGAATTTTCAAATTTCAGGGGAAAATGCATAGTATCCAGTCTCCACAGCACAGTTATCCACTAGTTTAACATTCCCAAGCTTCGTTCTAGCAGCATAACAATGCAACACACTACGAGGAGGACCTACACGAGGAACGGAGACAGTAGCAACGCCTTACCCTGTACAGAGATCTGAGCTGATCCGGGGGAAGCGTCGGCTCCTGCTCCCCAGCACTAACGGAGCCGCACGAAGGCACCTGGTAGCTCTCGGCTCCACTGCACACAACCAGACGAGAGCGAACACCGTAAATTTCACAGCATAGCGAGACAGTCAGGACTCAAGAGGAACCAAAGCAGAGGCACAGAGGCGCGGACCTGAAGCCACGCAGCGTGGGCTTCACGGGGAAGAACCCGTAGAGGAAGAGGGAGAGGCCGGCGACCTGAAGCAGCACCGCCGCCACGGTCCACCCTGCGACGGCGGCGCCCATGGCTTCCCTCCGCCGCGGAACGGCGGAAGCCGGCGGCCCAGCGCGACGAGGAAACTAAACTAACCGTCCCAGTGAGACGACTGACTCCTAATGGGCCGGAACGAAGCCCATCCAGGATAAAGAGGGCCACTACACTGGGCCCGCCAGAAGCGTGGCGGGATAACAAAGCGCTCGTCCAGCTCCGCAGCGGCTTCCGCTGCTTTTGCTGTCATCTGTGCTATCCGCTAGGGTTTATCTGCTCGAGGAATGGCGTCGCTGCAGGTCTCCGGCGCGGGGGTCGGCGCCGTGGCCTTCGCTGCGAAGGGGAAGGCCTCCATTGGTGCACTCCGGCTTCCCTCGGTGGTGACCGTCGGCGAGGTCCGCCCCGCGCGGCGGGCGTTCCGCGGCCTCGTTGTCAGGGCCGCCACCGTCGTCGCCCCCAAGGTGCGTGCCCAGGCAATGTAGCTTGGTGGTGTTGGTTTTCACGGGGAATGGGGGTAGTGGGATTGGTTATTGGCTATTGCCGTATTGCGTGCTGTTGCATATGCTTACCGAGGCAGTATAGAGACGAGGCGAAGTCACTGATGAGTGATGAAGAGTGCTGGTGGCCCTTGACTTTGATTGTGACTGAATGGAGGCAAAATGGTTGGGGTTTGGAAATGCTGGTTTGTTAGGTTATGGTTAGCTTCTTACAATTCGAAACTCTGGTGTTTGTGATGTGGATTGAATTACACTAATGTCTGGTGTGGTTTCATTAATGCTTACATGTGGTGAATTGCACCTGACTCCATGGTGCATTGCAGTGAATTATGGAGAGAACTGTAAAGAAATTATGTTTATTAGTTCAATATCTAGTCTGAATTCTCATGTGTAGTACTCCCTCCGATCCAGATTATTAGACATTTTGGCATTTCTAGACATATTGCTTTTACTATGTATCTCGACATAGTGGAGGCAGGACCGGTGCTGCCAGGGATGCAGCACCGGTCCAGCTCACAAAATTACCATTAGCATCATTAAATCAGAGATGAATACACAGAAAAATAGATAGTTATCGCCTCACTCAAGCAACAAGTACTAGTTATCACCTTAGTTGCTGTGTAGTTTATCTTCAATATAGTTCTAGAGAAATGTTTCTCTTCAATATAAATTTGGTTGAAATCTAGTTAAATTTTTAACCTTTGTAACTTGGCACCCCCTTTTCTCTATTTCTGGCTCCGCCCTTACATAGTGTATATCTAAATGCATAGCAAAAACTATGTATCTAGAAAAGCCAAAACATCTTATAATTTGGAATGGAGGGACTGAGGGAGTACTTAACATTTTGTTAGCTGGGCCCTTGGGCAAGATCAGCCTCCTCACTTGGGACAGATAATTTCCAGAGACTATTTTTAATGCTTTGCAGGAATAAACACTATGTCTTGTTATTCATTGCAGTATACAACACTTAAGCCCTTGGCTGATAGAGTGCTTGTAAAGATTAACTCTTCCGAGGAGAAGACAACTGGTGGAATTTTGCTCCCTACAACTGCTCAGTCCAAACCTCAGGGTGGTGAGGTAGTTGCTGTTGGAGAAGGAAGGATAATTGGGGATAAGAAAGTTGATGTCAGCATTCAGGTATGTTCTTTGCAAAACATGTAAGATCTTACGTGTCTGTTGTTTTTAATACAACTTTATATATGGGTACATATTCCCATGTGAAGCAGGTGTAGCTATTCACGTATTCCATTAGCTGTTGGTGGGCAGAGAAATGGTACCCGTTTTAGTACTTTGTATCCCTTGTCCTACCTAAGAATTGGTTGCGATAGAGAAAGAAAAGTTCTACTTGAAAGCCATGTGCTGTAACTTTATCTGAGTTTATGAGTAAGAAAATCACATCTTAAACAAACAGAGCGAGCCTTTTACCTTACCTATTTGGAATATAACCAATCTAGTTGGAGCCATACAGCAAGATGGAGCTGTCAAAGCACTTGTACTGCCTGTCCGATCCACAATTTTACACGTCTGATGTTATTTGTGTTTCCATCTGAATTATTTGTATATGTGTTCTGGTGTCATAGTTCTTAATACAAGCAAACTTAGCCCTATTGTTGGCAAGAAAAGAGAATACATGCTAACATGTGCATTTGCTACTACTTCAGGTTGGAGCTCAAGTTGTATATTCAAAGTATGCTGGAACTGAGGTTGAGTTGAATGATCACAACCATCTGGTTCTCAAAGAGGATGACATTATAGGTATCTTAGAAACTGATGATGTGAAAGACATGAAGCCTCTGAATGACCGTGTTCTAATCAAGGTAGTGATCTTATATTTATTTGATCTTGACATGTGGTTACACAGTTGCCGTATTCGTGCTACCGTGTTCTAATCAAGGTAGTGATCTTATATTTATTTGATCTTGACATGTGGTTACACAGTTGCCGTATTCGTGCTTATTTCAATACAGTATGCATCACCATTCAGGTTGATGTTCAACTGGCTCACCCTTGTATTTGACACCACCTGTTCTGCATGGTGTTTCTCTTCTGATAGGTTGCTGAAGCTGAAGACAAAACTCCAGGCGGTCTATTGCTTACCGAAACTACCAAGGAGAAGCCATCTATTGGAACGGTCAGTTGCTCAGTTGTTTAGCTCCTCTTGAGCACTTCTTTTCTGCACGAGTCAATCATCGATGCGATGATAATAACAAGGTGCCATGGTCCCGAACTGTACTGTTTTGGACTGTGTGCCGTGTTAGAGTTTAACTACGACTTTGCATCTAGTAACATTATTTCTTGGTCGGAGACAGGTCGTAGCGGTTGGCCCAGGCCCCCTGGACGAGGAAGGCAAGAGGAGCCCGCTGTCTGTGTCCGCGGGGAGCACCGTCCTGTACTCCAAGTACGCAGGCAGCGAGTTCAAGGGCGCCGATGGTACGAACTACATCGTGCTGAGGGTGTCGGATCTGATGGCCGTCCTCTCCTGAGCTGGGCTAGAGAACAGAGGTGCAGGAGCAGGATACCATGCCATTGCCAGGGCCAGCCAGTGGTACCACAAACCACAATTCCCTGTTGCTGCATCGCCATTTTTTTGTGGGAATGGGGTTCCCTTGCGGCCTACCAATACTGTAGGCTTCCACGTGGCTTTCCGTTTTTTTTTTCTTCTTCTTGGTCGTCTTGTCTGACTGCCCTCCGAGGATCAACAATAAGCAAGCATTCAGAAATTCGGTCGCACGCAGGCCCTGTTTGGATTGGAGGAAATCCAAAGGAATTTCAAAGGAAAGGATTCCTTATGAAAGGTTTCAAAGGTTGCTGTTTGGAATACAGGAAAGACGCGTCCTGTTCCAGAGGAAAGGGTTCGTATGCTGTACAAATCATAGGAAAAAAAGAATCCACTCGAACTTAAGGGAAATCTCATTGCTTGTTGATCGCTCGCTCGTCACGGCCCCCCAGTCGCGACTCGCCGCGACTCGCGCGTCCTGGATTTCGGCGCAGTTACCGTCCGTGCTGACACCGATGCTCGCCGCGGCTGCTCGTGCTCGCGCTCGGTCGTTGCACCACCCGGCCTCCCGAGCTCACACCGGCCATGCCGCTCGCACGCCCCCGCCATGCATGCCGCCGTCGTCAGGAAGAGAGAGACTCATCAACGACCGGCAAGATAAGAACCACCAGGTGCTCGAAACGGTAAAATCGTATATGGAGAGAGAACGGTTCAGCCGGACAGAGAAAGAGAGTACTAACTACTCTGCGTCTAGATGAATTAAAAAGTAATATACCAAATGACTAGTTGAAAGCACCTAAATATTGTGTTAGGATGCATCAACCGATATAATCGGTGCTTATGGACACACGTGACGATCAAGGCTATTCCTGCAATCCAAACACCTCAAAGTATTTATTCCTGTGTTTTGAAATCCCATAGTTTCTTACTTTTCACTCTACCCTGTTTCTGTATTTTTCTCCTTTCCTCTGTTTTGCATTCATGTGTTCCAAACAGGTCCTGAAAGGGTTCACTTTGTACTCTGTCACATGCCGTTCATACACCCTGCACACCCTGCACGTGCACGTGCACGTGCCCGTTCTGCGCTGGGGGCTCCGTCAGAGGCTCAGAGCTCCGTCTACACCCGCGGCCGGCCCAAGCGGATAAGACGCTGACGCGTGCGTGGGCAACACAGCACTGGCACACTACCACCACACGCAACGCACAGCGCAGCCGGCCACGCCCCCGGGCGTTTCGTGTCACAATCCAGCGTTCAAGCCGTCGTTCCTCCAGCATTGACCGTGCAGCCGGGAGCCAGAGCCACCACTCCCATCGCCTCACCTCTAGCGTCTACTAGCGAGTACGGCTGGCCGTTCACTCGACTCGATCAGCGTCTCCTCGCTGCCAGCCAGCCGACCTGCCACGATCCACAGTGCCACAAAAGGAGAAGCGATCCCGATCCGGTCATCTCTCGTCTGACACACAATATAGGAAGATCTCACTTTCTCACTGATTCTGAGTTGACGTCGCCGAGGTGAGCAGGGACAAATGGCGAATCGCCGCTGCAGCGCAGCGTGGGAAAGTGCAAGCAACAACGGCTCCGACCTGCCGTGCTTTTTCCTGCGGGTTGCTTTCCCGGTGGATCGCATGGAAAAAGTTCGCCGATTGTCATCCGCACCGCCGACGGACGCAGCGCTGAATACTGACCGCGCCGGCGCAGCTACCCTACCTTCCCGTTCCCGGTGCTCTCTCCAGGCGGCAGTAGAGCTGCCTGGTCTTGCTGCCTCATCGCTCCGGCCGGCCAGAGCATCCTCGCCACAAAAACGAGGGGTAGTTTACCACCACACTGGGGCAGCTTTTTGAACTCAAACATAGACATACCGATTGCAGGGGGAAGGTTATTCGTACGCATGCAAATCATCACTAGTATACATGTAAACTTTTTTTTTCTTGCTGAATACTACCTACCTACTACGTCCAGATTTATAAGGTGTGCGTCCAGTTTGTGTAATGCATCTCAAATCACAGATATAATCAAGTTATTTTGGACATTAGCAAGTATTATGAAGTTCGAAAAGGAAATTATGCTCTCTGAGTTGCAGTTTCCACTAGCAATTTTAGTATGAAACATGGTATTTACTTATTTAAAAAGGTTTACATGCAATCAAAGTGCTTTCCACGGTGACCCAGGAAGTCCCAACCCTTTTTTTTATTCAGCAAGCAGAAAAAATAAATAAAAGAAAAGCATAGCCTATCCCCATTTCAAAACCGTTTGTCTCGACGAATACCCAGTTTAGGGAACTTTCTTAGATAGTTGGATTTGCGCCGTCGAAGCACTCTTTTTTTCTTAGTCGGGTGCAAAGTTAGGATAAGATAGGAAGGGGTATAGTACTAGACTAACAACTACTTAATTTAATATTTATTTGAAATTAAATAGTAATTTAATAGAAGTAGTTAAGTAATCATTAACTATAATATTTTATTATATTAAAATTAAATAAATAATTAGTAAATAAATAATCTACTATAATAAATAATTTACTATAATATAAATGTTTGGCACAGATTGTAGATTTTATTTCTCATAGAAACAAAAGAAATCTTGCCCGATGGTGTTTCTAGTAAAACATATGAGCGGTCCCTAAACTTGTCCCGATGTATCATTCAAGTTTCCGAACTTCAAAGATGTATTTTCAGGTCCTCGAATTTATCCTAGGGTAAAAATACCATTTTCAGGACCTCGCAAACTGTCCCAAAGTGTCATACAGTGTTTTAAAGGCGGCTGGGCATCCAGACAAGTGTTGGGTCCACTCGGACGCCTAGGCGGTGCCTAGGCAACAAGGTGCCACTGTTTTCCAAGGTTACCTAGGTACGCCTGGACGCCTATGGGTGTCGCCAAGCGATGCCTACATGTCTTAGAACTTATCACATCCAAGTCCAAGCCAGACCCGACCCACTATGTAGCCCAACGTCGCACGACACCCAATTGGTCCCGGATGTTTGGCTAGTTAGGCCCCGTTTAGATCCAATTTTTTTTGGATTTTTGGTCACTGTAGCACTTTCGTTTGTATTTGGCAATTAGTGTCTAATTATGGACTAATTAGGTTCAAAAGTTTTGTCTCACGATTTCTCACCCAACTGTGCAATTAGTTTTTTTTTCTCTACATTTAGTACTCCATGTATGTGCCGCAAGATTCGATGTGACGGATACTGCGCAAAATTTTTTGGAATCTAAACGGGGCCTTATTCAAATGATAAAGCAGAGAAACGTTTCTTCTTTTCACACCAGGATGTAGAAACAGGAAAAATGTTGTTTCTGATTTACTTCCTTCACATTATAACTACCATCCTCCCTAGGGGTGGAAATGGAATGGATATGGATAGTACTTGAATATTGATTTTTTTTTTGCCTAATACGAAAACATATTTAACTGTTCTCAAGAGTTTTTTTTATCTTTTTATCGATAGTTTTCGAAGAACAATGTCATTATGCAAATAGATACTAAAGTAGAGTATATTCAGATATATCCATTTTATAGCATTGTAAAGTTAAAGGTGCGTTTGGATCCGAGGCTAGAAAAATACTAGCCTTGCTAGGCTAGTCCATGAGTTTGGAAACCTAAAAAAAATTCTTGCTTTCGATGACGACCTTGCCTCGACCGCCCTGCAAAAGCAAGCTTCTGAGGGAGAGCCGATTCATCTCGCCTTTGACTGCAAAGTCCCATCGCTCATGCGGAAGAAAATGTATGGAAATTATTTTAGTTAGACAATGGCATTTTGATATGTGTTTTATTTTTATGCAGCAATTTCATCAGCACGCTTGTAGTAGTCTGTTTATCTATTTCCATGTACATGAATGCTAAAATGAAAGAGAAATGAAGCAGGGTAATTTGTACACACAACCAAATGATGATGCTAGCTCGGCAAAAGAACCAAACGTGCGTTGCTGGAACTGGCAAGCTTGCCCAGCTAAGCTATATCTTAGCTCAGCAAAACTATCAAATGCACCCTAAATTTGCTCTTAGGGGGCATATGCTCTCATCCCATGGGTATTGGATGTGCATATACTGTATGACACCCATCCCACGCATATCCAACGGTTATGGGATGGGAGTATATGTCCTTGAAGGGAAAAAAAAGGAAACGCGCCAATTTTAGCATCCATATTAAAATAATAGATATGTATCATATTTAAGTTTCATCTACGAATTCGTACAAGACGGATAATCGGACATCCATTTTTGTCACTATCCCTTTAGAATAAAAAACCAGCCAATTCTAATTCACAAACAAACCTTTCTAGGAGGAACCGTATCCAACATTTGTGAGAAAACAAGCTCTAGCACTAACCTTATGTTGTCGATCTAACTTATTCTCTAGGTTCCTCGCAAAAAAAAAAAATCATTCTCTACGTATTGATGCTGATGGTCAAAAAATTTTAAAAAAGTTTGTCAAAAAGAAATGAAAAAAGGACTTACATATACTGTGGTAATGATGTCGATGCGTGTAAATAAATAATATCAGCAACCAGACAAGGGGCATGTTCGTTGGTTGATGTTGGTCTTTGGTTTAAAATTTGGTCATTTGCTTTTGGTTTTTATGAAGAGAAAATACTTATTGACCTGGTTGGTTTAAGTTTACCAAACCAACGAAAAAACGAACGCTGAAGGACGGGACACCAACCACTGCACCAGAAACTGTAGGCCGTAAAAACGAAAGACAGCAACACAATCAATCACGCGTAGTTAAGAGCATAAAACAAAAAAGAAAGAAGGAAAATTTCCAAATAGGACAAGGACAAGAGACCATCATCGTCCTCTCATCCCCAACCCGAAGCCTAAAGCCGGTTCATTTGGCTTGTTGTCATAAATAATTCTAAATTTTTTAATTAAAATAATATTTTTCTCTCACATAAATCAGCAAACCATACTACTTAAAAGAATTAGCAACAAAACAAACCAACCAACCGAAAACCAACAGCGGGGTGGGCCCCACCGGGCTAGCCCA